ACAGGGCCGACCGCCATTATATGGAAACGTATGTACAGTGGCCAAAATAAAAAAGTGCACACCACGAATAACTTTTGGTCTAATGATCGGATTTTCAACTACGAAGGCTCAATTTTTATGGCTCAAAGCCTTAAATAAATCTAAAAGACTTCAATTTTTGAATTTTGTAGTTCAAAATTATATTCTTTAAAGTGACGTAAAAATTTGTATACCTTACAATTCAAAATGTTTTAGATCATTATAAAATACTTCAAGGAATTATTTCTTTCTTAGAATTATCTTTGAATAGACAAATATGGTTGGTTGGTTCTGATGCCACTTGCCACACGGGCAAGCTTGTTTGGTGAAACCGAGTAAATTTAAGGCAGAGTGTGCTTTTCCTGTTTTTTCAGCGGCTCCATCCATGGCCAAGAATACGACTTCTGCAACACCAAACGTCACACCCGTTTTATAGGGCAGTCCCATCCATTCATTCATCCACAGATCCCTGAATCAGAGAACGATCGATCTCCAATCCACTACCCCCAGAGGTTTTGATTTGTTATAGGAACATGGAGGACTTTTGCGACTCGACAGATTTAACGTGCATCAGTCACTTTACTACACGGGGAGTCTTCGGCCGGCGGGGTTCGAACCCATGAACTGTCGAACATGGGCCCAGCGCCCTACCGACCAGGCTATCCCGGCCCATAGACAAATATTATAACTGCATGCAAATACTTTTTGATTCGCTTATAAATTTTTCCAGATTTAGCGAAATATACAAATAGTGAAATTAACCTAACCAACCATCGACTGCTCTCCCGCTTAAACTATTGGGACACTATTTTCTGGATTATGGCTTGATTTTGCGAGTCCAACATCCAATGAGAATTGTGGTCTAATGAGCGAGTCCTAATGAGAATTGTGGACTTATGCATAAAAAATATTTATATACGTTTTGTTTTATTTATATACATTGCAACTATCTCTCTATATTAAAGGAGTTTTCGGGTAAACCTTACATTTGGTTTGGCTTAGAACCTTGATATTACACAGAGGCAGGAAATCGAATGAAATTAAAAAATTAATTCAGTATACTCTAGATATCTCAAATACCTTGTTATGTGAAAAAAAAGTACTTAACCTTTTATTTATCCACCTAATATTAATTTGAATTCCTATGGCGAAAAATTTTTGTCAAAACCTTGTTACTTTTCGAAATAAAAAATGAATTTTTGGGGGAAAAATCACCAGGTACCACACACTCAACATTACTGCGTCTCAAAAAACAAATACTGCCCATTTGTTAAGAGGCCTCATAAGTTGTTCACCGCAAACTTATTTCTGTGAGAATATTTGGCCTCTGTTAGGCAATCGATAGTGGGAAATAAAAATGTGAATTCATAATCCTTATCACATGACTTAGCTTCCAGCTCTCAATGAACGTGTACTTGATTTTGATTGGCTGTATGTCTATTTAACGCGGATAAAATTCTGGTTGTCTTACCGTATTAAATTAAAACAATCAATGAATGGGTTTTTTTCTCTGTTAAATACCATATTCATTATGGTTAGTTGGCAATTATGGTTGAATAGGATAAAATAACAATTAAAGCAATTGTTTTTTAACCATTTTCCTCAGAAATTTAGAACCGCGTATGATAAGCCACTATTTTATTTTATCACTTACGGTAACATGACATCGTCAAGTTATACCGTTACAGGGTAAGTTATACCGATTAACGTGGTAAATTAGTTATGCAGGATGTTCCGTGAGGACAGCATTTCATATATTTTTTTAGAATCCTTCTGAAAAATAAAGTAAAATTATAGGCACATAAGGGGACGTGAATTAATATTTAAACGATAAAAAAAAGTGCTGTCGAAATATAACGATCATTACTAAGGAAGATATGACTGAAAGCATCAAAACCTGTTTCCTTGGCGAGAGCGAAGTTAAAAGGCGATAATGGAAATACCAGCATCAAAATTGACATAAAGCACAGAACTCTAGTTGAAATTTGCTCTAGGTTTAAATAGTCGAAATTTCATTTGACCGCGTTTTGGCCATAAAAGAAGGTACTACTATACATTCTGATTGTAGTGATAGGAATCAAAGATAACTTGTATTATCATTCAGCAACGAACTCTGTTTCGAGCATTCTAACAAAAAAAAAAGTAGTGACAATTTGTATTGACGATTAAATAAGTTTTGCGATGGAGGGAAAAAAAATTCTACTCGCAGCGATCGAAAAACGATTTGAACTTGGATTGTCATTAGGTACGAATGTCTTGCAGCGATGTGAGTGCTCTAACTAGTCTGAAAGTTGTCCAAATTTTGATTGTAACATTTAGATTTCAAAAGCACAAAATCGAGTCAATAAAATTGTAGTAGTGTTTTAGTAAAAAAGAATGATATTGAATGATTTAGTAAGAAGAATGAGATTTGTTCTAAGAATTGGTTTAATAATTGCACTGTTTGCGTACTTATTAATCCTACGCATCTTGAAAGAAATTTTCATTTTCAGAATATTTTTTTTTTACAAATCTCGTGTTTAATAAATTTACCAGGTCTCAAAAGTATTTATATATTAGCATAAAATAAATAACAGTTTTTAATGAAATGGCCGAACTGAAAACTACTTTCTTATCCCTCTTTAATACGAATGTCAAACAAGGATTTCTCTTTTCATTAAATCAATTGTTAATATCTTTCTGGTTCATAAATATTTATTTTCGAATTCATCTTACGTAGAAAATGTAAATTTTGTTTGAATAAACTCATGGCAGTGAAGAAAAAAAATTATCTTGTTGAAACTAAACTGAAAAAAAAGAGTGTTTAGAAAAATAAAAGACAGAGTAGAAAGTCTTTTTACTTTGACGGGATTAAAATTTTTAATAATCTTCCAGAAAATCGATTTTTTTTCCTAAAGCGTAGGCGGCTTTGAGTCTGAAGACGTTTTTCTCTGCGTTAAAAGATAAAATCAGCAAAAATTAAATTAAGAAAAAACTTTAAAATGTTTAATGAGATTATCCCAACTCTTTTTTCTAACTAAAATAAATAAACGAATAAATAAAATGCCTTCATTATAATTATTTAGTTGAGTGGTTTCTTAAGATTTTTTTTCCTATCTCGATGACATTAAAAAAACAATATTTAATAGGCGTGCTTAGAAAATAAAAAATTTAATATGATTATTTCTACTTAAATAAAAATTGATTTGCCAAAACTTAGAATATATGGAATCGTAGAATAAATAATAGAATTGAATAAAACAAGACAAATAGAATAGAATAAATAATGAAATAGAGTAAAACAAATACAATAGACCAAATCATAAAGCAAATACAATAGACCAAAACATAAAGCAAATAAAATAAAACAAAACATAAAGCAAATACAATAGACCACAACATAAAACAAATAGAATCGTATAAATAATCGAATAAAAGAAAACAAATAAAATAAATCTAAACATAAAACAAATATAGTCATTTTCTTAATTTATTAAAACTAGACATTTTGTCTATAAGAAACGTTAGGTTTCAGTACAGGAAACGAGGAGTCATTGTTATAGATTTCAGTGTTTTAACATTGGACCTGTATACAGATAACAAATATTTATTAGCTTTCAGAGTCTTTGTATTTGGCCTATCTACAAATAACAAATAATTACTACGTTTCTGAGTTTGAGGTATTTGGCCTGCTTACAGATATTCACGAGGTTGCAAAGATTTTATGCGTTTGACAAATGTTTAAAAATAACAAACATTCACTAGGCTACAATGTTTTTGGTATTTGACCTGTCTCACAGATCAGAAATATTCACTAGATTTTAAGGTTTCAAGCATTTGATCCTGTTTACAGGTAACTAATATTTACTAGCATTCAGACTAATAGATATTCGGTCTGCCAACAGATGCCAAATATTCACCAAGTTTAAACGCTTCGGGCATTTGACCTGTGTCTAAATATTCAATCAATAAGACAAATATTCACTCAAAGCTAACCTTTGTGCATTACCGAATATACAACAACCTGCTTTCATCATTTTCTAATGGTTCTTACCAAACAACGCTTTTTATCACCAAATTTAGAGAATTTTTAAAAATAAAAAAAATTAATGTTAATTTAACGTAGTTAGAATAAAACACTTTTACTGAAGATGAGTCAAATATAAATCAATATTTAATACTACATTTTTTCCGATTCACTGGAGGCGGTACTTTTTTTTTATAGGTTTTAGACAAATGAGGAGTAAATTGATGCGTGTGAGAATCAACGCTACGATAGCTATCCGCAACAAAACCATTCTTCATAAGCAAAAAAGTTTAAAAACATGATTAAGTAGTTACTAAAATAAATACTAAATGTAAATACTAAAATAAATAGGCAAAAAAATAGATAGTGGCCAAGTTCTAAACCACAAGAATAAAAATTTTTGCTCTAGATAATCAACAAAGACCACCCCAAGATATGCCATGTATAAACCAACGTTCACGATCATACCTACTAATTAGTGCTCATTTTTTGGTCTGGACTTGTTTTTGGAGTATTATTCAATTCAGTCTAAATAAATACGCGAGAAACAATACCTGACTTATTTAGGTAGTGCAACTTAGGTGTGCTAGCTTTAGGTAGTGTAGGTGTGCAACTTAGGCATAGTAGGCAAACTTCAAATATCCATATTAGCCCTAAATTATGTCTTTTATAACTATTTACCTGAACTAGTTATTCCCGTATTCATCTGCATCGAAATTGTTGATGGTTTCTTTGTAAAAAGTCGTGTTTAGTTAAGCCTTTAAGGAGATTAACTCGACTTCTAACTAATAAAGGTGCACTCTGTACTACTTTTTCCCCTTCTTAACCAGAGTCTTTCTAAACCTGTTCAGATTATACAAAAGAAGTACTCTGTCAAATGATTTCTTTTGGGTTGCGGCAGAAACGCGATATGCTTCGTTAAATTTCATTACATGATTTTTAAAATAAATTTGTTTAATTATTATTTTTCTTACAGGTTTTGGCTTACGATTCCCATGAAGCTAAGGTTTTGGACACTTCTTTCCATTACCTCCCATCTGTGTGTCCGAAGGGGGCTTGCAAAGATTGCATCAGGTAAGATTAGTTTTTTTCTTCTGCGTAATATAAATACGGAGTTTATAAATGTGCTTAAAATCATCGGTTTTTTTTCTCGTTTTATTAACCTAACATAATCTTTTTTAAACTGATCCTCGTGATTTTGACGTATGAACCTCAACCATTATCTATTCACTTTTGGGTGAAGGTCTTTCTCCACATTTTTCGAAACATTCGATTTCTAGCTTTTTTAATCTTATTGGACTATCTTTTTCAGGGTCTCTTTTTTGAATATCACGTGGTATTAACTTTTCCTTCAAGAAAGATGACTCTTTATGACTCTTATTGTCACAGTCCAAAATTGTTTCAAATTTCTGCGTCTTTCTTTTTTTTTTAAATCCAGTCTTTCACACTATAGGGTTATTCCATTGCTATTTTGAGTGTTACATTTTTCCCATGGCATCGAAAACTCTCTCTCGATGTCCATGGATTCATTCTACTCACTTTCTCTTAAAGCCTGACAAATATCTTATAACAATTCTTTTCTTGTATCGATCTGTTATTGAGAATCTAAATTTCTGCTTTATGTGGGTAACATACATTCATTAAAAACTCTACCTCTCAGAAATATTACTCCTTTTTACTTTTATTATTATCTTATAATACTATTTAGTATATAATGCTGTTTTGGACCAATGAACTGCAACTGGTTTTAATTCCTCTGTTATTTTCCTGTAGTTTCGTGTACTGTGCATGATGTACGTGTACGTGTAAATTGTTAATCACTTGCGTACTTCTTAAACTTTCATTCTTTTGACTCTTTCCCTTTTTTAGGAAATTAGCACTAAAATGACTTTTTTTTCTAAAAGTTCATTTTAAATCCTGATTCAGAGTTGGTAATTTCTTTTTTTGTATGCGCGTGTTAAGATAAAAGAGCAAAGCGAAGATGACATAGGTAGTCTCCATTTTTACTCCAATTTAGTGTCTTGATCTCCATTTTTACTCCAATTAATTGTTTTGATTACTTCTTTAAACATGGACAATTTTGATTTACCGTGTGTCCGTCATGTACTTCTTTTTCCTCTTTGGTTTTAGACTTCTTCCACATTCGATAAGCAGAAACTAGAGTACGAGATTAGGTTATGTTGAAACATATCTCGTACTCGAAAATTTAGTGTTATTATCTTAGTTTGGAGTAATTATTTTAAGACAACACAGTATTTTTAAAAAACCTTAAATATTTTCTCTTTGTCTTAAAAGATACTGTATTCCATTTAAATGCTGTTATACAACTTCCGGACTTTAATTGGTATATTTAATTTTTACAGCATTCGCCAATCACGATTTGAAGATCCATACATCGGCATGGGTTCATCCCCGGATTCTGTGTCCGTCAGCTTGTCGGACGAGATCTCAATTCCCATACTACTACCAATCCACAAAAAAGGTGAAAATCCTCTGATGTGCAGCGAGGAAGTCAACCCACAATCCATACAAGACCTCGAAGCAGCCTTGTGGACCGTCGATCAAATAAACAGGGACACCGAGTTCTTACCGGACATTCGTTTAAATGTTGTCGCAATTGATACTTGTTCCACACCAGTACAGATAACTCAAAAATTATCAAATTACCTCGTAAATGCTAAGAAGAAAGAAATGGAGGAAGACTTGGGACCTCTCCCTACCTCTTTAGCATTCGTTGTGGATGGAACGTCCGAAGAAATTAAAGCGGCATCGTCAATAATATCTCTTTTAAACGTGACTACAGTTTCCATAAGGGATTCTATACCCGTGAAGGATATGGTCAAGCATTTTCTTCAAGTGGCTGTACCCTTTGAGAAGAAGATTAAAGCAACAGTCGATACTCTGACGAACTTAGGTTGGAAGTTTATAACTGTTATTTACGATCTTGAAGAACGTAGCCATCAGATGTTAGAATCTTTCAAAGTTCTTGCCAAAGAGAAAGATATCTGCCTCTCGTCAGAACTATCTGCTTCAGGCATGGATGATTTAGAAATGGAAGATTTGGTAAAGAAGGTGGTCGAAGCTAAAAAGCTAGGAGCAAGGGCTGTGATTATGTTTACCAGCGAACGAACTACCAGATCATTTTTACAAGGTGTCCACCGTGCCGTCATAGCTGGACTCATTAGCAGAGGTGACTTAATTATTATTTCAAGCGGAGATTGGATCGTCAATCTGCAATCTTTTAAAGCATTCGAAAATGAAGCCACTGGAGTGATAGTTCTTAAAACTCAGCAGGGGGAAGTCGAAGATTTTACGACGCACTATCAAAAGCTGCAACCGGAATCCAATAAGAGAAACCCTTGGTTTCAAGAGCTGTGGGATCAAAAGAAACAGTGCGTCGGAGACAAATGCAATTCCGTACCTAACAACAATGCAATCATCGAATATGTCCCGTCTTCGAGTACAATCAACATGATCCAAGGATTGTTGGCGGTTTCAGCGGGTCTTGCTCGACTCAGAAATGAACTCTGCCATCCGGAAACAGGTCTTTGTCCTAAAATGCTACAAACACCTGGTCTGAGAGAGCATTTATTTAACTATGTTAAGGAAACGGCATCATCGAGATTGGATGCAAAGGGAGAAATGTTTTCCTTTACGAAACAAGGTTACGGTAACCTTCCCATTGAGATTTTTAATTTCAGAAGAGCTTCTGGCAAGAACTTTGTTTATCAAAAGGTAGGAATTCATTTTCTCATAAATCTTTTTAAAACTTAGCAGTATTTTCTACTTGAGAGGCCGTGGGATAAATGGTTCGCGGAAATTTATTTTTCACCTTTTAAGTAGTAGTTTAAAATATTGAGTTAAACCTAGAATAAACCATAAAGTTTCAAATACTGATTTTTTTCCTCAAAATGCAAACAAATTATGGCAGAGTTACTTATGGGTATATCACACGATGAAAATTATCGGCAACGAAACCGGCAAGTCAATCGTATTTGTAATTGTATCTTCCACTTTCTCCCAAAATTGTACGAAAATCCTCGTGTGATATAGAAATCACAGTAGCCTGAAATATCAGCAACTATTTCTGTCCGCTGAGAGAAAAATTGCATAGAAATAATTGACACTTGGACCCATCGGATAGTTTGTTTTTTTACGACGTTTCAATTCTATGTGATGACGTTTACAAATGTAAATTAAACGGCAGCGTCGTTGATGAAGAGGATGATTGGAAGAAATGTTGTGTTAATACACAAAATTAAACAGATATTAATTCTAGAGCGTCTGTGATTACTTTTCCTTCCTTTACAAACATCGTTGAAAAACAATGAGATAATAGCATTACTTGAAAAAATAATAATATTAGCCAAATGCTAAGATAAGTAACAAAAAATGGTTACCCTATTACGAGCAACCATTCCAGCAATAAAGCAACCCTATCCAACTGCAAAATTGCCTTTTCCCCTTGTGTTCACAGTGGGGAAGTAATTCTGCAATAATTTGTTTGCATTTTAATATTTTAAGAACATCTGCTGAACAATGCTGAAAAGCATTTGAAACTTTAAGTTTATTTGAACTCATTTTTAAACTTAATATTTTAAAATGGAGGTGCAACAAAATTAGTCATGAAAAGTTTTTATTGCGGAATCGCGTCCTATTAAGAAGACTTTTTGCCTTCCGCCGTTGTTGCTTTCTCTTATGTTGAATAAAATTTCTTATTTTTAGTTTATTTTACATAGTTTCTTAAAATCTTTTTTTTTGTTATTATTATTATTGTTTTAAAATTTTATGAGACTTATTTTAGTTTTGAGATTTTTATGTAGTTGATGGCAAAAATTTCTATTGGTTATAAATTCGATTTGTTACTTGAAAATGTCAATGACTTTAGATCTTAATGATCGTAAAGCGATTGAAACTTCTATTGTTGTATAATTCCAGTTTTAATTTGAACACTATAGCTAGTCGGAAATTTTCTATTAGCGATGACTTATAACGATCAAGTAACGGTAGAAAATCGTTATCCTTCACAAAGCTTCAGTTGAAATATGAAATCTCTAGTTAATCGGAATCCGATCGATATTTTGAATGGCAATTAATAGTACAAATGAAATAGACAAACTGTAAATGCTCTTCTGTCGGTTATTTCTTCTCTACGTCTGCATTCTTCACAATTTTAAAAGTACTGTGCGCAAAAAAAGAGTAAGGACCACCATGAACAACTTTTGATTCAATGATCGGATCTTCATGTTCTAGGACTCCATCTTAGCTGTTCGAAGGGGTGACCTCAAATACGCGAACTAATTAGTGCAGTACGAAATCAGACGTAACGACTTTCTTTGAATAAATGTACCGTTTTTTTAGGACGGATTCGGATTTTTGATCCCCCCCCCCCAAATATAGGAGGTAGCCGCAATGTGGGAAATAGGATCCCCATAGTTTGGTCATGAGAGCGATCCAAAGTTTGGACCCCCTAATATAAATTTTATTTTTTTGCGTATCTCGCTGCATCTCGAGAACTTTCAAAGCGAACTGAAAAATCTTTGCACATAATTATAAAATTCATTTATACAAAAATAATTCCATGCAAAAAATAAATTTTAGTAAATATTTACTATTTTTTATTATTTTATTTAACAACAGTCGTAAAACTTTTGAATTGTAAGGTATATAAATTTTTACATAATTTTAAAGTATATAATTTTGCATGAGAAAATACAAAATTTGAAGGAAATCGGTGAAACAGTCGATTAGAAATCAAATTTTAAAAATACGACTTTTTTAAAATTCGATTTCTCATGAACTATTCAACCGATTTTGCTTAAGTTTTGTATTTTGCCATGTAAAATTAGATACTTTAAACTGGTGCAAAATATTATATACCTTACAGTCAAAAAAAATTTCAACTATTTCTAGATAAAATAATAAAATATAGTAAATATTTACTAAAATTTATTTCTGCACGAATTTATCTTTGGATAAACGAATTTTATAACTGTGTGCAGATATTTTTCTATTCGCTTAAAAAGTTCTCAAGGTAGGGCGAAGGAATAAAATTAGCATCAGGGGGGGGGGTCTGAACTTTGGATCTCTCTCCTGACCAAACTATGAGAACCCTATGTCCCAGATTGAGGTTACCCCCTATATTTTGGCTGTCAAAAATCCGAATCTGTCGAAAAAAGGTATGTTTATTCATAGAAAGTACGTTTTGTCTGATTTAGTAACTTAAAATATCGTCTACCCCAACAAATTAGCATATTTGAGGTCACCCCCTCAAATCGTTAAGATGGAGAAGGTCCGATCATAAGATCAAAAGTTATTCAGTTATTAATTTTAAATTTTGCGAACTGTACAATTCTACCCTATATCTGCTTTTTTCACTCTATGCCAAATGTAGGAATCATCTTTATATCTGTTACTTCATTTTGTTTTGAGTACATCTTGTCTACCAGACTTATTGATAAAGCTCCATGTTAGTTCACTGCGTATCATATGTATTGATATCATAAACGCTTTGTAGATTAAGATCTGTAAATATTTAATTTATGCGGATCATTTTCTTCAAACTGTTAAATCTTTCCTAACACTATATGTTTCCACAATTTATTAAATTACAATATTCTTGGAATTTTGTGATCTTTTGGTTTTTATGTATTTGAACTAAACCTCAATATGCCCCCTGTGGAAGCAAGTAGGGGTTAAGCAAATAAATAAATTTTTATTGACAATAAATTGTATGCCAAGATGATGGAGTGATAAATTTTGCTAATAGCGGTGGGGGGGGGGGAATTACATTGTCATCGCGTTGAATTCTTCCGTACATATTCATAACTTATTTCATCTAATATTCATAACGTAATTTTTATAATATTTATAACTTAGCTAATCACATATTCGTAATATGGATCATATAATGCTCTAACTTTATTCGTGTAATATTCATAATGCTGTTAATCTAATATTCATATCATAGTTTATTTAATATTCATAACGTATTTAACCTAAATTTTATAACGTAGTTTATTTGTTACTCTTATTTTTGATATTTATGTACTCATAGCTTAATTTGTTACTTGTAAAAAAAAAAGAAAATGACTGTGTATTTATATATTATTTTTCTTATAAAGCATTGTACAACACTCTATAGTAGTTACCAATTATAAATCCCTTAGACAAAAAATAACCGCTAGAAAGGGAAAAAGATGTGAATTTCCTACTCATAAAGTTACAATGTCCTTTTTAAATACAATATTAACCAAAAATCTTACCAAACTAAAATTTCAATTTTATGGGATCTTGTATAACCTTTCAGTCAGAAATATATTCAAAGTGCACATTTCACGTTTCAGGTTGGTACATATGACTCCCACCTCAACAAATTAGCAGAAATCGTGGTCTACAACTCTAATGGTCAAGAAATAGGTGTCGACAAAATGACATCAGATTGTACTGAAAATTGTGGAATGTGTCAGAAACGTCCCACTGATTTTGTCATACTCGATTCCAAAGATCACCTTTATTTGGCGACATCTGTTGACATTCACGAACCCTCGTCCAATCCTCTATCATGCAACACCACCGTTGCCACCTCCGGTCTTCAAAGTCTCGAAGCTTTCCTCTGGGCACTGGATCAGATCAATAGCAGTCCACAGATTTTACCTGGCATCAATCTTGGAGCAATAATATTCGATACTTGTGGCAGCAAGGAAAAAGCCGCCAGAGATGTTGCCAACTTTTTCAGTAGTTCATTGTCTTCCAAAGAATTATCCCACAATATTCCTGGTGTGAAGCAAATCTTAGGTTTGATCGCTACTCAGTCGGATAATGTCATTCAACCCATCATAGATGTTGCCATGCCGTTTGGCATGATGACAATCGCGCCAAAAATAACCTCTACCAGTTTCAATGACGAGGAAAAATTTCCAACGCTCTTGAGGTCTTCTCTTCCGAATAACGTTAGAGCTGGTGCAATAGTTGACCTTCTGAAACACTTCAAATGGGATTATGTGTCGGTGCTCTATTCTGATGTTGCTTGGAGAGAAGCTGATTTGTTCAGTTCGTTCAAACAAAAAGCAGAAACACGTGACATTAGTTTTGCTTTAGCTGAAAAAATTCCATCGACATTTACCAAAGCAGCCATGAAGATACTTGTAAACAAACTCAAAGAAAAGATGAAACAAGGTGCCAGGTATGTTGACATTGACCCATAAAAATCGATTTTAACATTACTAAGAACCTTTACTAAAAAAATACTTTTTCGTAAGTTGTAAATATTCAACATGAATTTAATTTCGTTAATCTCTAAATTAATCGATTTTCATTAGAAAAATAAGTTTTATAAACAACTTCCCAATGTTATCTACCATTAAGCTCTTTTTCCTCAAATTCATTTCAATTTCTCTTACTAAACCATTTTACTAACTTTTTCTATTTTTATCCGTCCAAAGAGATACCTGCAAGTGACGTAGTGTGGGTATCTCAATTCTGATTGATTGCTGAAACGTGGCATTTGTTTACGTTAGCAACTGTTCTTTCCATTCTATTTCGAGTAAAGCAACAGCGTCAAGTATCAATTCTCTTAAATGATACATTCTATATTCTCACACAAAGATTTCAATTCCTTCACTATCTATTTCGTATTTAACACAAAGGCACGCATGGGGAACATAAGCAAACAAATTCTGCATCAAAGTTGCCAGGTACACAAAACTAAAATATATCACGATTACAACAAAATACATAAACAAATAATAAATCGAAGTTAAGTAAAAAGTAGACAAGAAAGAATTATATTTCAGCTAAATCTCTGTGAGATACTGCTTTGTATTTACGCAACTTCACGTTTATTAGCATTTTGACTTATGTGGGGAAACTTAGCTCACCTTTAACACGCCATTTTGTTTATAAGCGATGAGCTGTAGCTGACGTCATAGCTGTCACATCTATGGGTATTGTGATTTTCTTGAAGTGCAAGTACCCAATTGGCCTACTAGATAGCGATTTTTTCAATGGCTTGCGTCATCATTCTATTCGATAAACATAATCGGATTACACGTTCTCTCATTTGGTCTTAGTGATTCAGAATCCAATGTCAGTGAGGAATTCAGAACTAAAAATATCAACTTGCGGTTTGAAAGCGTGGGGAGGAGACTGGGAGAAGTGACTAGCATGTTTTTCTTCATTCTAAGTTGTAGTAGAGGGGTCAGAGAATGGTACTTTTAATCTCAATTAAATTAGACAATTGTGTATTTATTAAAAACTTGCCCTCACCTATTAAACTCACTTTCTGAACGTCATTTTGAGAAAACATTGTTTAAAGTTAGCAAAGGCTAATGTCATGCGAGTGTGCGGTGATATGAATGCAAAAAACAAGGATTTCTTTATACTTAATTATTTTATTTTTATCAGTTTCAACACAAACATTCAAGAAAATGTTTTTAAAAATGCATACTTTTGAATTACGCATTATGGAATGTATTTACCAAGTTCTTCGAGGTGTTTAAAGTTTTGTCTTATTATGAAGGAGAAAAAAAAAATGTATTTTCTTGACTAATTTTTTTTTACAAGATTAAATTTTTGCTTGATATTTTAGTCAGAGTCTGCCTACCGGTGGAAAACCATTGAACGTTAAATCTTAAAATAGAGAAATGCATTTCAACGCATCGAAGGGAACCCTCTATAACTGTGTCAATCGTTTTCTCCCCCCCCCCCGTGGTTGAACTCTACATTCATAAGAATTTTTTTTTTCGAAAAAAAATTTTGATGTTGCCTTGAATGACCAAAATCAAGAGAATGTCGACTTTCATCGGTGAATGTCCACAATCGTAGAGTCGCTTTAGAGAAAGTCAGAAATATTTGTTACATCCCATTTTATATTAATTTATTCGTTGATATTATATTTATTCTAGGATTCGCTGAGGATAGATTAGGAGAAACATCAGTGTTCGGAGTACTAGTTAAATGTATACCGGGTAGTGGCACTTAACCTTAAAAAAACATCAGTGTTGAGCACACTGGGCCAATGTTTACAGGGCAGTGGAACTGAATCTTAAAAAAAACATTGATGAAGGGCATACCGGGAAAATGTATACCGAGCAGTGAAACTTAACTAGACCTAGTATGTATTTCGGACCTTGGCCAAAGCGACTATGTGATTGTCAACATTCACCAGTAGCAGTCAACAATCGGTCATTCACAGTAACTTTGATAGGAAATGCAATTGTTTCTTTTCAGAGTTGTTGTTCTGTTCCTGACCAACAAAGATTCTTCTCTTTTGTTCGATTGTGTTCGAGAAGACTTGGATACCGGACGGTTAGAGATTGGAGATTTTGTGTGGGTTACCTTTGAGAACATGGATTCTTTTCATGAGTTCCCACTTGCTTCCCTCGGTGCCATCATGATGCAGCCGGGATACTCTACAGTCTTCCCTTTCAAACAATACTTCAGCAGTCTGGATCCCAAGAACAATTCAAGAAACCCTTGGTTCAGAGACTACTGGGAACAGGTATTGTCTATGACCTTTTCTTTAAGTAACGTTTATTGAACATTTTGGGAACAGGTACTTTACCTCAATATTTTTCAATATAAATTTTTACATGCAGCGTGATACCGGCGAGAAAATCTTACATTATGTAGAAGAGAAAATACAGGATGTTCCAAAATTCTCTTTACAACTTCAAAAACTCATAACTTTGAAAATAAACAAGATATTTATATTCTGTCTTTTGCATGTATTACTGCAACTAATAAAGTTTTGTTTAACACACTTCAACATGCTCACCATTGGTGGCCCTAAGCACTTCCAGTCTGTAATCAATTTCAAGCCAGGTGGTGTAAAGATAATTTTGGAACACCCTGTATTATGATATTAAAGATTATTTAATTTTAAAATATTCAGAAATGCCAAAGTTATTATTTTTTATGGCATTTCATTTTTTTCAACAAATCTGAATGACTTTTTATTTATGTATTTATTTATTTATTTCGATTAAGGTACAAACCTTTTTTCCCATTAATGGGATCCTTCCATTTCGATTGAGCCGATCCCGTCAAGTATCAATTCTCTTAAATGACACATTCTAAATTCTTTCACAAAGATTCTTTATCAAAGATTTCAATTCTTTCACTCCATATTTACACAGAGAATTTACAAAAAGACCGCCATGAAGTCACGTGAAACATAAACAAACGAGTTACGCACCGAAGTTACCAGGTACACAAAACAAAAAATATATCACGGTTACTATTAAATACATATATAATCTAAGTTGAATAAAACAAAATGGACGAGAAAGAATTATAATTCAACTCATTCGATGTGCGATACAGCTCTATATTTAATTAACTTTATTTTAATTAACACTTTAATTAAAGTTGAGCTCAACTTTAATACGCCATTTTCCTGATAAAGATTGGATGGCTCTGACGTAATAAGCTATATAGCTTATATGACGTCATAAGCTATATGCGTCATAAGCAAGTACCCAATTCTAAGTATTCCTTTAGATGGTCTAACATATTCTGATTATTGATAGTATTTTTGTTATTAAATACATTAAAACTCATTTTGTTGTTTGTACATAAGCAAAGCTCTCACAAAAAATAAAAAATAAAAACCAGTCGGTTGATTTTTTTTAAAAATAAGGGTTCCTTTAGTTTCCGAGGGCACTAATCTTGCTAATAATATCAAATTTGTCTAGTTAAATTAGTGCCCTTCAAAATGGAATTAATAATACTCAAATAAATATGAGAAATAATAATATTTAAGATTAACTTAGCATAAAAATAATTTGCAGTAGTTATGCTAATCTGAAATTCATGGTTTCTGCTACTGAAAACAAAAAAGAGCATTTTTTTCCGAATGAAAAGGAGACAACACTTTTTATAAAGGTGTGTTTACTTCTGTGAGAAGCAAGGCAGGGAAGGCCACCCTTCTAAAAATATTTAGGGAAAACTCTGATGTAAGTTTCATTTACAACGGAGGGGTGCTACTTAAACAAAAATAAGAAAATAATTCGAAGCTATGGTATAAAAATCATCACAAGTTGGCATCACGGATGCATTGAAAGAAACTTTCTATTCATTTCACTTCAAAGTAGAGCAAATATTATTGCTGAATGCTGTTCTAGTTAAAACGAAGCATACGAATTTATACCCCGAATCGCTCTAATACTATTGATGAGGAACAATGACATTTTAAAACAGTGATAGATCGTCGAAAATTAATCTTTAACTATATATTACGATATTATTTCGAATTTAATTATTATATATTTTTGGATCATTTTTATCTCGCTCAATATTTTTTACCCAAACTAATTGTATCAACACTAACAACAATACAGTATTCGATTATATCCTTTATAGATAATACTCGCGATAGTGTCATAAGCTTTTATCCATATTTATCGTCATGGTTTGTAATCGTGATAATATTGAAATTTTAACTATCATTATAGTTAATACTCGATACAATATTATTTTCGATGGTGAGATCTCAACTTTTTCGTTACTGATAATAATCTTATATTCGGTATTAAGACATGGTTTTAATGATAAATCTTGATGAGTTATTTTTAAACCATTAACTTAATGTTTAAAAATGTTGATATTTTTCTACAAATAGATATATTTTTGAACTCTATTTAAAACCTAATGAAAATGAGTAGCAATCGTGATCATATCGAAATTTTGAGAATACTCGCTAAAATATCGTATTCGATGTTTATAGTTTTTGATATTGAGTTCTTCATTATCGCTGTAAATAATAATCATCTATTCAATATTTATCTTAAGACATGTTTTCAGCGATATATATATTTTTTGAGAATCTTCAAAACATCGCTATTTTAAGTCGATAAATCGATATATCTTCGAACTCTATCGAAAACGAATGAAAATTGTTGTATCTAACATCCAATTACAGCGCATTAAGTAAAATTCATTTCTCTTTACCTTGTAATAGTAAATTCTATTTCACTTCATAAAGGACATATTTTTACAGGTATTTAAATGCCGTGGCAACAATTGCGACGAAAAGCGTCATACCCTGGCAGACATCACTGTCATGCAAGACTCCAGTGTATCTAAAGTCATCAATTCCGTTTTGAGTGTGGGAATTGGATTGGAGACTCTACGTCAGCAGCTTTGTCCGGGAATGGATCGAGGACTTTGTCCGGCCATGTCCAGCGATCCCCAAGTGAGGAACCTTCTCTTCAACTTGACAAGGGATGCATCGTTTGCCGGAGCCGATGGCAAACTCTTCAAGTTCACCAACCGCAAGTTCTACGCAAACACTCTCGACGTTTTGAATTTCAGACAAGTTGGAAGCAATGCTCACGCTTTCGTAAACGTAAGCATTGTTTTTCTTAACACTTTTCGGTGTTTATGATATTAATTTTTAAGAATATTTCAGTAAAAGTGATCCAAGTTTATGAAGTAACTTGCATATTTTGCATATTCAATATTCATGATAACTACTACGTATTTAATCTTTAAATTTGGGATGCAGGATATCCATTAAAGTTGACATACTCGCACTTAACTATTCAATGACTCAAACTATAATCATAAAAGTGATATATAGGTACAATAAAGTGGCTATACGCCACAAGAGAAAGTCAATTCCTTCTTAACATCCATGTCCGCTAGGTAGGCACCAATTAAATCTATGATGCTTTACAACTTTGTATTTCACTTCTTTATTTTTCAAATCGAAATCTTCTTATATTATCTTGTTGCACTTACCCACTTTAGTATACCTACACACCGCCTTTTAAGTTTATCTGGAACCGTGTAGCCGTAAAAACGTTAGATACAAATGTTAAGGAGAGCAGTTATTATTAAAGCAGTGTTCCCGATTTAACCAGTTAACAATCTATTATACACTTAATAATAAAAGTGACAAAATAGAAGCATTAATTAATACATATTTGTAAGCCTTGATTAATACTGATTATTACATGCTTGTGCTAACAGCATAGTCAATATCAGACATAGTGTCTTTGAAATTAATTGTTTGTTCACTTACAATAATAATATTTTTACAAAATACACTGATATCTAGTGTTCAAATTAGAATTGGGTATTTTCAACTCGAGAATACGTGATTAGGACCAACCAAGTGACACGTGGGTGTAGTCGGTGGGGGATTAACGATACAGCAATTAAGCTTGGTTTATTATCACTCTGAATCAATTTTCTGATCAGATTTAATTGTAAGTGAAGGTACGCGTGTGTGTCAATCCTTATTGGCTTCTGATTGGTGGCTTGAACGAATGCCATGATTTTCCAACGATTTACGTCGCTTCCTGATATCCAAGTTCCATTATGCACAAATGTTATAACATCATAGCATTGCTTTTGTTGTTTCTAATGTCACTTACCAATATCAGCATGCCTGCTTGATGAAACCAAGTGAATTTTAAGGCAGAGGATGTGTTTCTTGTTTTACAGTGGCATCATCTATGGCCAAAACTACGACTTCAGCCACACACACCTCACATCCCTTAGCGCGAACCCATTGATACATCCATTCATTCTTCCACAGATCGTAATTTTGACCTGTACCAGAGAACGATCTATCTTCAATGCAGTACCCCCAGAGGTTTAATTCGTTATGGGAACATGGAGGACTTTGTAACCGGACAGATTTATCGTGCATCAATCACCATTTACTACACGGGGATTCTTAGGCAAGCGGAGAACGAACCCACGACCTTTTGGACATGGGTCGACCACCCTAAAAACCAGGTTATTCCGGGACATCATAACGTACAACTAGAATATATGTTAACTCTTATTATGTGTAAACAGAGTACATATTAATTGTTTTAAGGTACAAAGTAGAAATTATTATAAAAATATTAGTGAATTATGTCTGTAGAAAGTATGAAAATAGTCAAATCATACTGCATTTCACAAAATATTAATAATTTTTTTAGGTTGGAACCTATTCACCAGATGAAGGCCTTGCACTGAACTTCAGCAAGGTTAAGACATACAATGAACTCGGAAAAGAAATAAGTTTGTACAACGTGATATCGACTTGTTCAGATTGCGATAAAAAATCGACCGACATCTTTACGTCCACGATGCAAATTGTTCCAAAGCAAGACTTTTCGATACTTATCGCCATGCCTGTGCACCAGAAGGGAAGCAGTTTCTTCAGCTGCGGTGATCTGACAGATGAAAAGATGATTCATCACCTGTCTGGAATCGCCTTTGCCGTCGACAAGATTAACAAGAATACCAAAATTGTTCCTGGCGTCGAGGTTGGAGTCATGACTTTCGACTACTGTGACAGGTCACAGAGAGGCGAAGATCAACTGTACAGTTACTTTTCAAAAGAGAATGAGGTCATGCCCGACATCAAAGTCCCTCCAAAATCAGTTTTAGCAGCCCTCACATTTGGTAGCGAAATATCGAGGGAATCTTCTCCCATATTTGATTCCTTGAAGATCATGCAAATTGCCATTCCAGTGGACAGGATGGAAACCAACGAATACAACGATCTTCTGTACACAGCGCCCTCTATAATGTCTCAAATACAAGCTCTCATTGGACTCATCCGAAAATTCAGGTGGAAATACGTGAATGTAGTTTACAGTAATACGGACTTCGGTCGCTCTGGATATTACAAATTTTCGAAGGAGGCTAAAAAACAGGGAATTTGTTTAGGGAACGTTGTTATAGTTGAGCCAGACAGTAACAAGGAATCTCTGCTAACAAATATCCAAAATGGCCTCAGCAGAGATGCTAAGATTGTCGTGTCTTTAGTGGACAACGACCAAGTCGTTCAGAATATGATCGAAGCTATAAAAATCAGTTATGTCTTATCCAACTATATCTGGATCGGCACGGAAACGTGGGGTAACAATCCCTATGCCATGGAGAACTTGAAAGGAGCCAGTTTCGACGCTTTGACGTTGAAAATGGAAAGTTATGACATGCCAGAATATAAGCAATTCTACGAAAAGCTAACTTTGTGGAATCATGCTCCCATTCCAGATTCTTGGTTTGAAGAATTCTGGCAACGTCGCTTCCAATGCCAGCTTCCAAATAGTGTAGTCCACCAAAAACAATATACTCCGGTATGTACGGGTAAAGAAAAACTGTCTTCCACTGACTTTACACATAGTGAGCATATTTACCAAACGGTTAAAATCATAGAATCGATTGCGGAAGGATTGCACAATTACCTCAACAAGGATTGCCCTTACGGGATGGCGGCCATGAATATTGACGACTGTGGTGCAGGGTCCAGGAAGAGTCTCCAGAAAGAAATCCAAATCATTCTTCATGGTGCTTATATTGAATGTGAAGAATGCACTTCCTCTTCTACAATCTTTGGATATGAGGTATTGCAGCATTCAACAACGGAAAACTCTACATTTTTGAATATTCAGGTAAAGTTACAGATCTTGATTACTTTCATTGCAGGTTAATCAGTGCCCATGTATATTTAGATATGTTGTTTATATAAATATCAGTGTTTTAGGTACTAACAACATTTTTTTATTAGATACATATTTGTATAAAATAAAAGGTTTTTCAATATCAGATTTCATATATACATGGCTGTCGTTAACAGTGACGGTGAATAGATACCCCCCTAAATATTTAGAATTCTCTAAAATTCCTCAATATTTTTGACAGAGAAAATTGTTATCAGTTATTATCAATTTAGATTCATTAAAAGCACAAAACAAGAAATGTATTTATCTTTTTACAGATGTTTAACAAATTTAAGAAATTTATTTGACATTTACCACACAAATTTATGATGCAATCTGTGCAAATTGAACCTGTTCAAAAGTAACGACTGAGTAATTAAAAGTTTTCCGATTTTTTAAATTTTTTTTTAATGTATAGAATGCTTTTGATTCTATTCAGGTGCTGCTCCAGTGCAGCAGGTTGTTCACCCTATTACAGAATGCATTCAAAAATTACAGAATGCCAGCTTTTAAGAAAGCATTGTTACCTGGTTTTCAAAAATAAACTGTAAACAATATTTTCTTATGATTGCATCTATAACTATGATTGCGTCTAAAAAATACCAAATTCGTCATCTTACCCCGCTTTGTTATCTTACCCTACTTTGCATCATTCGATTTCTCGGCAAACACTGAATTTCATTTTTTTTTTTTTTTGTATTATTGCCAGATACAAAAAAGTTTTCAAAAATAAGCTGTAAGCAATCTTTTCTTATGATTGCGTCTAAAAAATGCTAAACTCGTCATCTTACCCAGCTTTCTTATCTTACCCTACTTTGCATCATTCGATTTCTCGGCAAGCACTGAATTTTTATGCATATTTTTTTTGTATTGGCACAAACAGGTTTTCAAATGTAAGTTCTAAACAATCTTTTCCTTCACATTTTCCACTTGACGGCTCATAAATGTTGTTTATGCTTCCTTGTTTAGATCGGGAGCTGGAAAGATGGTATACTGTACATCGATGACTCGAAAGTATCCTTCACCGGCAATGAAATTCCCATCTCTGACTGCAAAGAAGACTGCAACGCGTGCGAGGATCAGCTTGGAACAGCTGAGACACTTCTGGCATCCGAAACACCCATCTATGCCAACTTCCAGACTGTGTGGGGCATCATCGTGACTGCACTCTCCATCCTCGGCATACTTCTAGTCATCATCTGTGCCCTCTACTTCCTCATGTCTTTCCCTGTCACGGTGGGAACGACGGTAAGACTGCATTTATCTTTTCCACAACAGTGTATTTGGAATTGAAGTAAAACACACTTTCGTCCAGCAAAATAAAAGAAAAAGCCACAATTTCTTAAACTGGAAGTAGAGCTGTAATTTAAATTACAGCTCTACTATATTAAATACTATTTTTGCTTGCATCTCATTGTGCATAATGCTGATCGTTAAGTTCAAAATCATTAAATAAATCCCTTTAATCGTAATTTATAACAGTATATTAATGTTATTTGCACAAAAATAATAATTGTAGGACGGTTAATAAGATTAGACCACATTTCTAAATAACTTTATCTTAAGATGTAGTGCAAAATTACATTATAATAATAATAATAAACAATTCTCTTAGTTTTAAACTCTTGAATTAAAAGCGTAATAATAGCAGTACAGGAAAATAACTTTAAATTAGCGATACGAAAATATTTATAGCAAAACTATACCTTGATGACCTTTATTGATTTTATGTTGATGACAACCAAAACAATATGGAAAGAATGAGGAAAAAATATGCTTTATATGGTAAACTACATATAAAGATGAACAAGATATTACAAAAGAAAAATTTTCAAAAATAAAAATTCTATTAAATTCTATTTTAGCGTTCATAGCATTAGCAATAGAAGGAGAAAAATTGTCTAGCCATTGTCTAGTCTCTAATCAATCGTGAAACACTTACGTAGTTTTTTTCAATTGCACTAAAGTATAGCATCGCTCGCTTATTTAAAATTTCAGGGCGTTATAACTTAGCAATATTTTTTTGTTTAGCTAGAAAATATGAATGCAAAATAATAAGTGGAAACATTAAGTACTTGAGAAATTATGATCAAGATCTAAAAGTTTTTTATTTTCCTTATAAATAAATTTCATTATTCATAAAAAGTTGAAAGATCAAAATGATTCATGATAATCTTCCCCTAAACAATTTAAGCAAGGCCGAAAATTATTATATACGCCCCCTAGTGCTAGAGAAAAGATTCTGGCCCTAGCGAACAGGCACAACATCATTTCTTTTCCTGGAAATTTAAGGACTTTCCTTACAGCATTTATTGTGTAGTAGACTTTAATATCATGAAAATTGCGATAGGCATTTTCACCATTCTTTTTATATTCTAATTCATTCTTTATTTAGGTTCTAGGGTATATGATATTGTTCGGACTCCTTCTTCTGTACGCTGTCAACTTTGCATTCATTCTCTCACCCACTGAAGGCACTTGTGGCATCAGAAGATTCGGCCTGGGGTTGGCCTATGCTGTCATCTTTTCGGGTATGTTGGTGAAAGTGATGAACACTTGGAGACTCATGGGATACAATGGCAGCCGGATACTCAGTGACGGAACCAGGCTGTCCAGTCCAGCAGGACTCCTCATTATAGCAGTTGGACTAGTTATCATTCAGGTGAGATTCTTCTGTTGAACTACATTGACATAATGAGTTTAAAATAATGTCAGTGTATAGTTCACACCTCTATCTGCAATATCCACTGAATAAAAAATAAAACTTCAAATTAACTTTTAACACTTCATAATAGGATGAGCAAAATATGTATTTTTGTAATTAACTTAAAGGAAAACAAACTCTTGAGAAACTTGTAGCGTCTTATTTGTATCTGATAATCATAGGAGAAAAATGGGCTACTTCGTTGCTGAGTAAAGCTATTCACGAATGTGAGCAGATATCATTTAATTTAATTAGTTGTTGGAGATTATTTCCCAAATTATGAAGAAACAGCAAAAACATTGTGTAACGAAACGCAAACTTTCAGCTATTTTTTTTGCATGATTGTTCTCGACATTTTATTTTATTTTATAACCGTCATTGGTCTACCGATCCAATTTTGAGTTTAAGATTACAAATGTTCCTCTCTGTAGCCTGGTAACTTTGAACTCAATCAAGAAGACAGAAGAAATTTCCGATATAACGAAGACTTTTGTATTCACTAAACTAATTTATGTTGCATTAAAAATTATGAAGTGAATTCTTCGATTCAATGCAAGCAAAAACAAGCAGCATAAGCCGCTGATAATTTTTTCTCATGGTGTGAACACCGATTCATAAACTAGTTCAAGTTATTCTTGTTTGATTCTATTTATAATAAAGCTTTCTAGTAAAAAAAAAACATAACGAAACTTAATTTTGCTATCTATGACTTTCGTTCAAATTACTCAATTTAACTTGATAAAAAACTTCATTGGCTTCAAAAAATATGAAGATGTTAATAAAAGTCGACATGTTCTAAGAGCAAAAAAAAATAGACGACTATCTTAAAAACTTACCAGGCTTGAATGAGAAAAACAAAAGTTATTTGAAAATCCTGAAACAATAAGTTGTTGGCGAAAAATGGAAAATAAAGGTGAAAAACATGACTACAAAAATCGCGGTAGCCTAGAGTGGAACAGGAAAACAAAGATGAAAAAACAAACTAGAAAAAACAACTGCGGCAGATAGAGCAAATCAGAGCACGATCACCTTTATTTTCAGTTTTGCGTTTTTGCGTTTTAGGTTTTAAACCACGTTTACTTTCCTCATTCAAATCTGACAAGTCTTGAGCCCCTATTTTATTTACTCTGGAAACATGTCGGCGGCTTTTAATACCATCTTTATATTTTTTGAAGCCAATAAAGTTTTTAAACAAATACATCTTTCCGTGTCAGTTTCTTGACATAATTTATTTGATTACCCCATTTTAGGTGCTTCATAAGTTTGTATTGAACTCCCAATATATATATTTTCTACTCCTGCAGGTTGTTTTATCGTCTGCTTGGCTCATCTTAATGCCGCCCAAAACAGGAGCCTACGAACAAGTCTGGAGATGCGCTCCTCCCACCACTTTCGAAGAAGGTTTGGTCGTCTCCCTCATTTACGTCATGCTCCTTCTTGCCATCACGACACTCTTTGCCCTACTCACATGGCAGTGCCAGGACAACAATCGAGAGTCTCGTTGGATACTGGCTTGCGCAATCCTGGTGGCCATTGTGTGGCTCGCCTGGACCATCCTGTCCACTCAGCTCTCTCCCCACTACAGGGACACGACAATCGCTGCTGCTAACTTGGTCAATTCTACAATCATCATGATGTTCTTGTATCTGAGGAAGGCCTACCTGTACAGCAAGCTCACTAGGCAAGCCAGGGATCAGGACATGAAGGCACACCTTCAGCCCAGCTCTTACAGCCATTCCATATATGGCTCCTCGCAGAAGACATTCTCCACTTTGGCACCAGTCCTCTATGGTACGTTTTCCTTATCATTAGATATTTGACTAAACTATGGCCGTCCAATGATAAGTAGTCATTATCATTGAGTTTTTGAATAAACTATGTGGGTTAATGATGAGTATTAATTATCATTACATTTTGAAACAAATCATGATAGCCCAGTGGATGTAGTTCTTGCTTGTGGTGGCGGGTTGAATCCTGCCTGTATGTGGTAGGTTTGTAAACTACAGTCCATTGATTCACAAAATAATACATAACATCCTCAGTGGTTGACTGAGTCACATTTCCGTTGGTCTAACCGAGAAAGGTTTCAGTAAGCAAGAACTCTCAACATTTTTCACGTATCCATAATAACATAGGTTGCCTTTGTTGAGATGTATTCTTCGAATAAAAAAAATCGAAAAAACTTAAAATTTAATAAAATATTTACAATATTTAACACAAGACGTGAAGTAACATTCTAGTCTATAATCGTGTCTCGGGCAACTAAAAGATTCTGACCAGACTGACTTCTTGTGTCGGGTGGTGGATATTTCAAAGACATCTTCTTGATGCGAGCACACCTAGTAAGAGAGGCGAATATAATAGGCGGACATCATTGAGTTCGCGCGTACTAGCCAGAACAACCTTTTTTTAAGCTATGACCCAAAACCAATGGACAGAACAGTCTCCTAGCTCAATTACCTATTTTAAAATTATATAATTGATTAAATTATTTGAAAATACGTTAGATTATTTAATATTAAACTGTTTATTAAATAGCTTGAAATTACATTGCTAATTATTGCATGAAATACAACAAGGACTTGTGTTTTCAAAATGAAGAAGACTAGTGACTTTAAACTTTTAATAATCATTTTGCATAAATTAAGTTAAATTTCCTTAGTTCGGCCCTCAATCATGCCATACAAAGCGTGACTGATCATAGGGATTGTTGATGTTTTCTTGTAATTTTGCGTAGGGAGATTTTCTTATTTATTTATTTTTGCTGACAATACACCAATAAGGTTCAAACATAGAAAAAACATGTTTATTTATTGAAACAAATAATCCAAAGAAACTGAAGAGGAAAGGTATTACTTGATTAAAAATCTCATTCGCTTCAAAATATACAAATTGTAAGTCCACATACTTCAAGAGCTCAAAAATAGGCACCCATTTTCAAGACTTTCCAGACGTGATTAAAAAGAAACGAAATTAATTTGAGATATAACACGTAAAGTTGCCTACGAAATAAGGAAAGATGAAGGTGAGAAGCAAAACTAAAAAAACAACAACTACAGTAGTCGAGAGAGAAGAAAAGATGAAAAGCAGATTAAGAAAAACCTCAGTAGCCAAAACTAAAATTATTTGTATCCCTGTCACATCAGCTCAACTTGATGCCTTAGAATTTTGATTCATTCATATGGATGCTGATCTCCTTATTAGTGGCATTAGCTCCTCACCTTCCATCCATGGCACATGGAAATGCATTTTACCTTGATTTGCCCCTCGTGACCACTATGGATTTACTTGTTCTGTTTTTCATCTGTTTTCTCTCTCGGCCACTCAAGTTTTTCTATCTTTATTTCTCTACTTTATTTTATCGTTGCCGACTTTCGTTTCATTTTTTAAAATCACTTATGCTTCTTCTCATTCACGTCTAGCAAGTCTGTCTGGTCTCTTGAAAATGGGAACTTGTTTTTGAGCACTTGAATTTTGTCGACAGTTGTTTTCGATGATATTTTTGAAGCAAGTTAAAGTTTTAATTTTTTTAAACTTTATTAAATTTATTTAACTAATTATTCAATTATTAATTAATTATTTAATTTTTAACGACCCCTTGACATGTGTTTAAGCACATTGTTTTTTTTTTCTTATCTTGATGAGCATTAACCGTGTCGTTCCTTCGCAGGTTCACAAGCTTCTCTGACAACCAAGAAACTGTACAACGTTCCATCTTCCAGAGTGGAACTCATCAACTGTCCGGAAGATAACAAAAGTGATAGTTCGGGTTCGGTTCAAGTGCAAGCGACCGATCTCTATCCCTTGGACATGTATGACGGGGGTAGTCAATTCCAACCGGTGACATCTCTCTACGGAAGCAATCACACCCTCGTTCTAGATGACACCTTACCCTTTGGAAGGTAAACACATTTTTATATTCTCTAACCAATATTTATCCAACACTCTAATATCGCTACTTTAAACCAAAATACGACGCAATTTTTCTGTAACCATCATAAATCAATAGACAGAATCATGTTTCTGTACAAGTTGAATCATGTTATCGTGCAATAGAAATATTATGATATGGTTGAATTTAGTGTCATATTAAGCTTGCAGCAGACATGAATGATATTATCGTTCAAGAGTATAGTACAGGGTCACTCTGTCAGGGCTGCTATTAATTTTACAGTTCATCATTGTGTCCGTTGTTGTGTACGGGTTCGTAGGCTAATTGACAAATCCATGACTTTGCATTGCGAATACAGTAAGCCTATCAAATATCGGTAGCTTGTGAAAAGACAAATTTTCCAATAAACCTACGACATAGACCATGAGGTAGAGAAATCTGCAATAACAAAAATATTTCAAACTTCGTCCGTTAGATGGCAATTTTTGATATACGTTAATGAAATGTGGAGCATGTTTAATAAGCCGTTAGTCGTAAAATCATTTTTTACCATGTCTGGACGAAATATCGGGAAAAAGATTTCTACTTAGAGGTATGCTGCAAAATGTTCTTTTTCTTTCAACAGAGGAGTTTTGAAACAAAAATGAACTGCATAACACATAATTAACTTTGTGTTTCCAACTTTTGTTTTTTTCCTGTATATGCTCCCTTATCTCACCAGATATTTCCGTACCGATACCTGCTCAAACCAACTTGGTGCTGCCACCCTGAGGGTCTAGATTTGTGGCTGGACAGCTGGCAGATCTCCTCTGACTGTGATTATGGTGTTCAGTGCCAGGCGTGACTCGAAGCGTTGTGCCTGTGAGTAAATGCTTAGCACTCGGGGCGGGATTGCTTCTTGCTACGAGGCATCTATTTTTAGCATATGGGCCCTGAGGGCCTGGGTCACCGTAAATTTACTTTCGCTTCATAACAAATAGGATACGAGAGTTGCTATTTATATTTCTGGCCTAATAATGAAAAAACAAATATGTAGGATCGAATTTGATTTTATTGTTTTTCAAAATATTCTCCATGATGATCAATACACTTTTGCATGCGTTTGAACCAATTTTCAAAGCACTTTTTCCAGTCCGATTGAGGTAACTCCAAAACATGCGTTTTGAATGCATCAACCGCTTCTTCGGGGGTCGAAAATCGTTGTCCACGTAATTTATTTTTGATGTGTGGGAATAAGAAGAAGTCATTGGGTGCCAAATCAGGGCTGTACGGCGGATGACCCATCAGTTCGATCTTTCGCTCCGTCAGAAATGCCTTTGTTTGAGTCGATGTGTGAGAGCTCGCATTGTCATGATGAAGAATGATTCGCCTGTTCTTCTGCTTTTTTCGAATTTCTCCGATGACTTCTGGCAAACAAATGGTCGTGTACCATTCAGAATTGACCGTCCTGCGTTGCTCTAACGCCACTGTTGCCACATGACCGTTAATGCCGAAGAAACAGGCAATCATTTGTTTCGATGTGCTTCTTCCTCGAACAACTTTTGTTGGTTTTGCCTCGTCTTGGAAGACCCATACAGTTGATTGCTGTTTTGTTTCCGGCTCATATGCATAGATCCATGATTCGTCACCTGTGTAGATGTTATACACAGCCTTTGATGTACCTTGAACGTATTTTTCCAACATTTCCTTGCACCAATCGACACGAGCCTTTTTTTGAGCGTTTGTCAGATTATGCGGGATCCAACGCGAACAAATTTTTTTTACGCTCAAATGTTCATGCAATATTTTATTGATGCTAGTCATACTAATGTCCAAAGACGCCTCTATCTCACGGTATGTCACATGACGATCTTGCTTTATCAGTTCACGCACAGCATCGATCTTTTCTGGCACAACAACGGATTTTGGACGACCTGCACGGGATTCGTCCTGGATCGAACATCGACCACGATTAAATTCGTTATACCAATTTTTTACAGTGCTGTAGGATGGCGCTTTATCGCTGAATAAAGAATTAAGTTCATCGAAGCACTCTTGTCTTGACAGTCCACGTAGAAAGTTATGAAAAATAATGACACGAAAATGTTCACGATTCAATTCCATTTTTTGAAAGAGAAGAACTTTTCAATTTACTGTCAACAACACAAATGAAGCTATAATGGTAAATCGTCTACTGTATTTATGTTTAAAAATATCAAACTCTCGATTAAAATCATCTGCGGTCGCCTAGCAACACTTACTGTTGCCAAGGCCAGAAATATAAATAGCAACCCTCGTACCAGTATAGCCACGTAATGGTAGGTAAATAGTAATATTCGTCTATGACACGCACACACGGGCGTGGCTTCGCTTGCAAGTAACAAATTAAATCAGATACGAAACTTTATTCAGATTAGTAATAAACCAAGCCAAATTACTGCAACTTTAAAAAGCCAAGCACAAACTCGTGATTTGGTCCTACTATGTGATTTAAATCACATGGTTGGGCCAAATTCAAAAATTCTTTTACACGAACTGCAAGGACTCAATTCTAATGTATGTTTTCCTTTTTCCAGATAACAACATTAACGGGAAGCCAAATGAGTGCAATACTGGAAGTGCATGATAATCTCTCTTCAAATGAGATTAGAGAATGATTATGATGACTGACAAATCATAAAAACCTGCAAACAAAATCCTCTCCATAAATTCCAACATTATTATTGCCAATCAGACTTCAGAAAAAGTCCAATTTCTTTGATACTTGTAAACTCTTGGTGAAAATTCCAATTGCATTTAATTGGTGTTTGAGTAACGAAGAAAGTTATACGATTATTGCTGCAATCAAAGTAATTTAGTAATGTATATGGAAAAAAAAGTATTTTCTTCCTTGCTGTAAACACAGATATGTGCTATATTACGTATTTTGATTCTTAGAGATGTGCCAGCTTATTCTACCACAATTTTACTACCGGGATTAAAGAGTTAAGCTCCTGATTTTAACCCATCTGAAAAAGTTAAGTAAATGTTCCTGCATTTGGCCAGATTATAAATATAATAAGGAGATTTCGTAAACTTACATTAACTCCAGTACGTATGATTTTAAGTAATAGCACATGTTTATCCTTAGTGCGCATGCGTCAATTCTGGTGAAATGAACATGCACCCATGAAAAAATATCAAATTTACGTAAGTGAAAATAAGAGAATAAAAATCCGTAAGTTAAAAACCACTAACGTAGTGGAATGTCGTTTTAACTTTGACTAAAAAAAATCAAAACAAACATTTACAATGGGCATACATTACAAAACAAACATTACGATGGACTCTTCGTTCAACTAATTGATATAATATCACTTGATTCCTTTCTAAATTTCATCAATATATTTCTACAAATTTGCATTCCATGTCCATGTCTTAAGTTATAAGGTAGGATTAAGCAGAAAACGACATTTAACAGTTATTAACAGCTTGCCTGTAGCGTTAATTACGCCAACGTAATTATCTAAACGTAATCTAAACGTTACGTATCAACGTAGTATCTAAAGTAAGCACGAGTACGTGCGCAGTTGCTTCAAATCTTGCGTAGGGATCGTACAGAAGCTAACGTAAAAGTGCAAAATCTCCCTAATTGTTGCAGAGTACCCGGAACCAGTTAGTTCAGTTTTTCGGGGTACCTGGTACCCGAATTCAGCAAATGTCAATGAAGCGGTACATCTCTAATGGATCTGTAAACACTTATAATGTTAGTGATTGTATGTAATGGTTTTATGGTTATTTATTATGTTAATGATTGTATAACCACATTTATAATGGTTCTATAATCATTCATGATGATTGTATAACCAACCAGATGAGATTTCTGGAATGTTTAGAGGAAGGTCGTTTGCTATTTCATTCCAGGTGCAATATTTACAAAATTTTATAGTAAAACATGATTCTTATCATCCGGTATCACGATTCTCTAAAAAACAATTTCCTCAAAATATATTTATTTTGGTTGCAAACAAGCATTTTTTATTCCTCTTACTATTGCCCAATGAAGGTTCTGTTTAGTTACTACTATTATAAAAATATGCAGTGTCCTGAAACAGCATGAATTTTTCTGCTCTAACAAGAATAAACGAAAAACCAACATTATTATTGTTTGCATAGAGATTAGGCTTTCGTCATACTTCAGTAGTTCGATCTACGGATTATCTATCATACTGGAAAATACCTGTTATGGCTCCGTAAATCCCAGCTTTGCAGTTTTCCGCATTGTGTCCAAAGTAATTAAATTTTTATTTCTACCTCAGAACTTCATTTCTTGCTGTTTTTCGTTTTTATGTGAAATTGTTTGGCTTAAAATGTGTAAATAGGAGTTATATTCGTGATTCTGTTACTAAATGAAATACCGTTAACCAGTCCAACGTTGTCTTCATTTTAAATTCGAAACTTGGGTGGCGTAATAAGTTCTGGATTAAAACAATAGAGAACACAATTGCTTCGTAGCTGGAGAAACCATTCTCCCCTTTAATGCTTGGTTGAGAGTTATTGTCCCCATATTGAGGAGACAAGTACTTTTTCGATTTCATACCAAACGAAACCATATACTAGTGTGTTTCTTGAACTTTTCTAGGGGATAGAAACTCTTTTTTGCAATTTTTTAAATGACGACCTGCGCAGAATATGCGTCGCGAGGTTACGTAATTCTACCACTCTCAACATTTCCCCCCTGTCTGTTAACTAGGAAACGAAAATCTTGCTTACCTTCTACGCCAGTACGTTTTAGTAAAAAGCTAGAATATACTGACGTAGGTATCCAAAAGAAGATTTGTGGATACCATGGAAACGGAAAGGGAAAAGTATGAAAATCGCCTATTATTTTTACGACGATTGTTGGGCAATAGAGAACCGAGTTGAGGAAATAGTTGTCATTTTTATTGTTTCAAATAATCTATTAAGTGTTAAGAGCCATTATCTCCGTAATTAGGAGACAATAGTTTTAGTAGAAGAATGACTATAACTTTGGTACAGAACTGTTGTCTTCCGATTGAGGAGACAATTCCTATTTATATTGTTTGTGAAACTTGTCTAGACCAAATAAATATGTTTCAAAATGTTAGATCCAGATAAGGCCAGATATCAAAGATATGCCTGTTAACGACGATCCTCACATTGAGAACGTTAATTTTTTAAACTCATTTTATGACATCCCTGATTGTTTGGAAAAAATAACACATTTAACTCTTTATTAATATTTTTATTTCATGAACAGAAACCATTCTTCCTTCTATTTTCGTCACCGAATAGAATTTAAATTAAAACAAAAAATTAAAGCACAAACTAGAATTGTAAATTTAGATAATGTAATAAAAACTTGTATGAGAGGAAAGGTAAAAATGCACATTGATTCTAACAGTATTATTCTTAAGCATTCTGCTGAGTAGAGAGGATAAAATGTAGAACACATGTTTTTAGTTTTTCAATTTGAATGTTTCTATGTGGTTTATTATTATTTTTTTATAACTCTTTTATTAAGCGAACAAATGTTTTAATGATTTGTATCATTCCATTTTTTCATATTATTCCGATTTTTGATCGGATGTACAATCGAATCTCTGTCAGATGAAATTTGCTCTTTATCAGAATCACGTATCCATTAAAACAGAGTTAATTGAACATCAAAATTTAATTTTATTCAGATTTTCCTCTATTTGAGCTATGGGAATTTTTCTTCTTCTTCTTCTAACTAAAATGAAGATTTTTACCTCGAAATTTATTCTTAATCAGAATTTTTCCCCTTGAGCTTCATGATTTTTTTTTCGCGAACTAAACAGACGAAACTATTTCTCTTAATCAGGTTTTATTCCGATGAGCATCACAATTTTTTTCTTATAATTAAAAGAAAATTAATTATCTCGAATTTTTTTCTTAATCGGATATTTCTATCAATGAGATTGACTGTTTTTTTCCCTGCTAACTGAAATGAAGTTAAATACCTCAGAATTTCCTCCGAATTTGATTTCTTTCGCGGTAGTGAGTTTTTTTTCTGAATTATATCACAATTTTCTCCTGATAAGATTTTTTTTTCCTCTCCGTTAACTTTAATGAAGTAAATTGATTTTTCAATTTTCTCTTAATTCGATTTTTTTTCCAATTAATGAAATGAAATACATTGACTTCGCCATTTTCTCTCATTTTAAATAGAGTACATTAAGCTATCAGTTTTCTCTTAATCTGACTTTTTTCTTTATAATAAATTGGAAGACAAATTCTCTAAAATAAAATGTTTTTGATTTCAACAGATTTTTAAAATTTTATACAATTTCATAAGGGAATTTGGTCTAAAGTTTAAAGAGTTCTCATGACAGTTTCGATTGAGCTTCAAGGTGCCAAAATTATCAGTTGAAAACTTGATAAAATCTGTACTTACTAAGACTATTTCATGCATCATGCAAATAATAAAATCCAATTAAATTGATTTTTTTAAAGTACAAATTTCATACTTTAACTTCTTTCTATTATCTAATTTCATACTTTAACTTCTTTTTATTATCTTTTTTTATGTCTAGAAAAACTGAGTAAATTTCAAAAGACAGAGATTCGAAAGTATTCTATAAAAAGTTTATTCCAGTATTATCATCTTTGATACTGATATATAAAATGCATACTACACGTCCTAATTAACTAAAAAGGAAATACAGATTTTAAACGTCCAATTGTAGGTGAAATTAGAATTGTTTACTAGGCAATGACCTCTTGGCACCCCCATTCCACTATCACAAAATATTGAACAGCATCTTATTACAGTGAACAATATTTGAAATATTGTTTAACATTTAGGAGAATATTGTATATAATCGTTCGCACTGTTATGAAACTGAGAAATCGTCGTCATAAAAATTGATCTTGTTGTTCGTTCAATATTAAAATTATTTGAATTGATTTAAAATGTTAAGTTTTAAAATCTGAAAAATTGATCTTGTTGTTTGTGTGTTTTCAGTTTACCATAGAAATATAAATATTCTAAATTCGTTGGATTAATTTAAAATGTTGAGTTTTACAAATAAATATTTTGTTGAGTGGTGAAACAATGTTTACCATATATTATGCAAATGTTCCGATAAAGCTCAAAACTGTTTCAATATTAAAACTGATGTGCAATACAATTTCAAAAAATTTATTTTTCATGCTTTTTTTCTTTTAAAATAACGAAATTTTCTTTTCTTTCTTGTAAAGAATTGTAAACATAATTTATGAACTGTAAAGAATGCCAGATTGGTTAAAGGTGATGATAATTTTCGAACAATTCCTATGATTTTAATTAGTTTATCATCTGCAAAAAATTATACTAGTCGCGCTTTATTTCTTTTAAACGATTATTTTAAGTCATTTCTTTCTCACAAGAATTTTTTTTAAGAGCAGATCACTTGTAAATAGCTGACATTACACTAGAAAAAATGTTTTAAAAACTTATAATAAAATAAAACATATCATTTAGTAAAACGGCATTTATTTAAATTTATTTTATCTCCATATATTTATCATTAAGTTTTTAATTTCGAATAGGCTGATGAGTATATTTCATACATTGTTGAGACAGTGTTTTTCAATGTTATTAGTTTTCTTAAATTTTAAACACGCTTAGACATTATTTCAAGGGAAAAAATCGTATCTTTTAAAATGAATATTTGTGTTCCAAAAACAAATAATATATCACCCATACCTCAGTTTCAAAGTGCATTTTGTTTCGTAAGAAAGAAATAATTTTTTATTCTCGATTATAATAACAAACCAATAGTTTCAATAAAAAAAAGTAGTAAAAAGAAAGTTTTGTCTATAACAAAATGTTTTACTAGCTATACAATTCAATATTTATAAAACGATTTTGGTATTAAATAAACATTAACATACAGTTTGTTTAACATATATTTTTTATTTAAATTTTTTTCAAAACATTTTTTAGATTATACTTTATAGTGTTTCTTTAAATACTTAAAATATAATGAATAAGTATCTATAGTAATAATTGGAAATTGATAGTTGTACCCATAATTATTTAACCCATGTAATTAAAACTATAGTTTCATAGACAGATCAGACTTGTTTCAATCTGACTATATAACTTTATAGTTTAAATTGTAAAGGTTAATTAATTATAGTTCAACTACAAATCTGCAAAATGTTCGTTTTTATTAGTTTTCATTGAATGCACTATTATCAGTTTGAAATGTTGTTATTCGTCATATCCTTACCGAAGTTGTTTTAGAGGGTGAAATTTATGTACGATTCTTTTCATTTATTACAAAAGTTTAAAAAAAAGAACGTGTAGTACTGTTAATAACACTAGTGAAAAACAACCTTACCTCTGAGAAAAATCTTCCCCTTGGTAAAGAATTCCTCAGCTTTAATAGAGTTCTCCAATGATATTTGCCAAAATATTAGAGCTGTTGTGAGTCATTATAGAAAAACAATCACGTCAATTTTTCCAAGCATGTTTATTGTTGGTTATAAATGCTTGTAACTGTATTGTGAAGCAGCAATGAATATGTTGCACAATTATTACTTGTTAATTCTTTGAGAAAAAAAAAAACCATGTGAAGATTTTATGTACATATTAGAAATGCTCATGAATAAATTTCTTTTTAACTATGTCTCTGTATTTTCTAGAAGAAAAAAAATATTAATAAATAATCGAGTGTAAATCATAATAAGTGTTATTTTAGCCGTCACCGTTAAAGTGAAAAAAATCGTTTCTTCTAAAGGATATGTAGATTATGCACAGATTAACTAGGACGATGCCAAGTGTCAAGTACCAAAAAAAGTGTTTCAATTCTTAAATTTCCAAGATAATCTGCACTAGGTACTCATTAAAGTGCATTGTGGACACATTAGGAGTTGCAAATGAATATATAAGGGTTGTCTAAATGAAAAGTAATAAAGTTGACTAAAAATAATACCTTTATTGAAAATTAAAAGAAATTGTCATTGGTGTTGTAACACATGCCCCATTGTTCAGGAAAGTTTAGGCCTTTAAAGTTGAAAGATTGTGGTTGATTCTGAAGGAAGTCCTGCGCAATTTCCTTCACTTAGGCATCGGAATGGAAACGCGTCCCTTTTAATGCTCTCTTAAGTGGTCACAAGGTGACAAATCAGAACTGTACGGCTGGTGTTCTAACACTTCCCAAAGAAAGTTTTGGTAGGCTGACTGCGTTTTATGGGAGAGGTGTGGGCATGGAGATGAATCACTTCCTGACCATTTGCATTTGATTGTTTTCCATAGTTTCACCAGTTGAATTGATACGGCCAAGTCCTGGGCTATATGGTTAAGGGTTTTCATAACCTAGGTACATGCTCAGGGCTTGGAGGAAAGAAAAAAAAAGTTGAATTGATAGTGCTCCCTTGGAGCAGAAGCTTAAATAATGTTCGAATCTGAACGCATCCATGTATTTATTTTCTATCGATTTCACTTACAGCTTTTTATGTCCCTGTTCGCTGCTGTAATTGCAGTCATTCTGGCATAATCGCACGCGTTCATTTTTAATTTAGGCAACCCTCATCGATAAGAGATAAGCTTTTAACATTTTCAGTGGAGTGTAACACTAACTTTTCGATTCGCCAAACCTTATAAAAATCAGTAATATCTTGGGTGAGTGCTTAGTTATCCAGAGTTAATAGAATAATAGAGTTAACAACAGCTTCGCTTAGGGGCAGTCAAATCCAAATCAGACACTTCTTTCTTTTTTAAGAATACTGGGCTGGTTTTAAAAGGACATTACGAACTCGTAAGGAGGTCAAATAAAGCTAATTCTGGATAAAAGATCATTGCTTGACTTCAAATGATAACGAGTTTCTAACTCCTTAGATGAGCCCGGATTGCCTGTCTACAGATGAATGCCTACGAGATCATTTAAAGACAAGCCACCCAATAATTCCAAATTGCATCCTTAATGGCTAACATTTTTTAAATCTGTAGCAATTTGAAGCCTCAATCACTGAGGATACGGTTTTAAAGGTTTAAATATTTAATAAAACGATGACTTTTCTTTTAAACATGCCCGAAATTAGACATAAATTTAGATTATAGTAACGTAAATAAGCACTTTAAAGAAAAACTTTTAAGAAATTCAAAGAAACGAAGAAAACAAATATTTATAGTTTGAAATATGCTAGCTTTTTAATTAGTTATAAAAAATTAAGTTATTGCTCCAGATACTTATTTCAAGAAGTTTTCAATAATTCATATCATCCGTCAGAATGATATTTCATATTTAGACATCAACACAAGAAAATACAGAAACCCTCGGTTCGATTTAAGTTCTCTATACTTCGCTGTTTTCTTCCATAACTGGTAATTCAGCTTTCTTTGCAATTTCGTTTTATGTTTTTCCACCGCCGACAGAAAAGACAACGACTCAAAAACAACATCAACTCTCAAAAGTTCTAAAAAACCATTTACTTATTTGATGCCAACCACAGTTTTTTTTAGGACTTACAACTCCTTACCCGTTGTAGAACTTTTCGTGAGTAGTACGAGGGAAAAGTTTTTTTTTCTTTTGATAATTTCTTACCTTCTTGAGAGAAAGATGACATATTTTCTTTTCAGATATCTCAATGCGAGATTTTGTAAGTACTAACAATTATGTTGCAACCGAAGAATAAATAGTACTACTTATTTATACATTTAAAAGAAATCCTAAAAGATTATATAATTAAGAATATCTAAATTATGCTCTAATATCTCCAAAATTTTAAATAACTAGAATTTTTAATGGTTAAAAATTTCTTTTTAATGAAATATTTAGATATGTCAAAGAAATTTAAACAATAAGGAATATAAAATTTAATATTTACATTTCAAACTTCAGTAAACTGAATTCTTTGCGATTTAACTTTCCTTTTTCAAAATAAATGATAATATATGAACGAGAAAATAAGATTAAACTGTACAAACATCAATAAGAGAAAAAACATTTTTATATACCTTCTTATCAATTAACAATCGATACAGCACAATTCATCCAGTAGACGTCCAGAATTGTCCGCATGACGTCGTTAATTAAATACCGACGTCGAATATACTTTTTTATAGCTTATTTATGGATAATTAAGAATGGCTTAGGTATCGACGTCTTATAGATAATTATGGTAGACGTAATGTGGATGAAACACTTAGTGGACCTTGTTCGACGTCTACAAGACAACTATCAAAAGAAGTCTCTTGGATTGTTTCTCGCAATCGAAAATTAGACGTAGGATTGAAACGAAATGAATAACTTTATCAATGAACATGTTTACTAAATACTATTTATATTTATTCACAATTTATACTTAATGCGTTGTAGTTAAATTGATCATTAAATATTCATGATTTTAGTACGAAAACCAAATATTTTTTTTATTTCCAATGAGCTGCACAATCGGTCTTGCCGATAAGCAGACCTAGTGCGTTCTCCAGAGGTGGTATCCACTCTTTCAGGACCACCACAATGGGTGAGATACCGTTGGTCATGTTAATTTGGACGTCTAGTTTCTGCCACACTAGATGGCAGCACCGAGACTCTATTTGGATGCTAAAGTGCACTAGGAATTTAATTTTGCCGGAAATGCCAAGAGCCAATAAGGCACTCCAGGGATCTTTTACATGCCGCATAATCATACGACATGACCGCTGAGGATTTTCTGCATCCCGAAAATCCGGTGTCTGGGCCGGGGATCGAACCCGCAAACTTGGGCTCAGAAGGCCGACGACAAACCAACTGCGCCACCCAGCCAACCCGAAAACCAAATATAAAGAACAAGAAAGGCAATTCCAAAATTAAGAATGAAAGTTGGTGTTAGAAATCGCGATCTTTTTAGGTTCACGTTAAATATATTTAGTTTTTTTTTCTTTCCAACATTAAAAAGAATTGTTTTTGAAATTGTTTTTGGAGTTCTAAAAGCTTCAATGTTGAAAGTAAGTTGCGAGTACTGAGAAAGTATTTTTTGAATTCAATGCGATATACGAGTATGTTGTAAAGTGTTTCTCTCCAATTAGTCATTGCTATTCTATATTCTTAGTCTAAGCTCCAACACAATATAGAAGATTATTTTCTAAAGCTTGCAATGATTTTGACAACTAGCTATGCT